CACTTAAGATGACCTGGAATAAACTAAACACCAGAGTCACTTATCTTTTAAAAGAAAACACAAATTGAATGTCTCAAAGTTGACTCTGAGGAAGTGATGTTAGTGTTCAACAAATGTTACATCGGCAGGTTCTTCTGGAGGAATATGAGCATTTCTGCTCTCTGCAGTTAGACGATTCCTTTTTACATCCCACGATATTGGCTGCCGTGCTAAACAGTCTTTCGCTTTCCACACTGGTTGAAGGGGCACTCAGAAACTTTACAGCAGCAAGGAGAGGAAAGCGGGCGTGGTTGCTGGGTTAGTGGCCCAGTACTGGAAGGGACTGTCTTTCTCACCCATTATTGGTTCTTTTAAATACATTTGCATTTGCATTCTATCATAAAGAATCTCCACACAGCGGACATTTTGTCTAGCCTCAGCGCTATCCTGCTAGCCTGCTAGTCTGCTAGCTGGCTGCAAACTGTGGAATGGATTCCTGAACGCAGGCTAGCAGGCTAGCAGGCTAGCAGGCTAGCAGGCTAGCAGACTAGCAGGCTAGCAGACTAGCAGGCTAGCAGGCGGGGATCACTTTTGGAGTCATTTCAGCAGACGACGTTAAAGCGCAGACATGGCTCATTGATATCGGAAATCTCCAAAGGTTGTATCGGAAAATCCGATACCCGAATTTCTCTGGTATCGGGTCCCGATACCGATACTGGATCGGATCGGCCCCATCCCTACACACACTAGTTATTAGGGGTTATTTTTTGATTTCTATCGATTCTCTACAGAACGATTCGGAATCGATTCAGAAAAGTCAATAATCGGAATTTTAAAAATGAAATTAGTTCGCCTACCGCAACATTTTGTTCGCCCGCTATGCTCGCTAGTGCGCCCAGCGCGCATGTGCACTAAACGCACCGAACGCACATTCGCGAACGTTCATAAACAAAGTTGAAGAGGCACCAAAATGGCCGCAACGGAGAGACGTATCTGACCTGCACCGGCTTCTTTAAAAGCTGCCGTATGGCAGCGTTTTGGATTTTACGAGATTGACGGCATGATGGACAAGACTTACACCATTTGTAAGGTCTGTAGAAGTAAAATAAAATACTTCGGGAATACGACAAATCTGCAGACCCACATTTCCCGAGACGACTCAGAGTTTGGAGGAAAATAGGCACCTGTTCCTGATGGCAGCCAGGTGACGATTGAACGGGCACTGGTACAACTGCCACACAACTCAGAGGGCAAAATCACAGCATGTCGACCAGCTCCTGTTCTTACACAAGAACTTGCATATTCTATAAGAATCCACCAGTTATTAACTGGAAGTGAAGCACGTTTACTATGTTCGACTTTCATGCTACACTGCCATGATTCAATTTAGCACTGTTATGTTATTTCTGTTTACTTTTCACAATGTAACAATGTAAACAATGTGTTGAAATGCAAACGCCATAAAGTAGCGTATTATTGTGTAGCATAAGTTATTTTCTGTCTCAGGGATATGCTCTTCTTATCATTGACTAAGAGCAGCTTTTTCTTTAATAATTAAAAAAAAAAATGAATCTGAATATTTTTTTTTACATAGGCTACTTCCATATTGTGTTGAAATGCAAGCTGCACTGGTTTTTGCATTGTTGATAGAAAATCATATTTGTGACAAAGATTTTTTTTTTCTCTTATAAAAAACTCAGATTTGCGAATATTTAGAAAATCGAGATGCATTGATAATCGTTTTATCAGTTAAGAATCGATAATCGGTTTAGAATCGAATCGTTGACCTCTGAATCGGAATCGAATCGTGAGGTGCCAAGAGATTCCCACCCCTACTAGTTATCAGAGCAGCGTGTGGGACATCCAATGAAACACACTGGTATAAAATGAACACGTTTCAAGATACTCATCATTGTACTGATGTGTGTAAAAGTTTCATTATTCTGCTCTGTTTTCACAATGACTCATTCTGATGGAGACACCAAAGGCCCTTTATAGTCATATGGACTCACAGCTGGATGAAGCTCCCAGATGTTCTGATCTGTACACTACATGCACATTCACTTTTTAGGTTTTTAGTATCGTGTGGTATGAGTTGCAAATTACCAAAACCAGAAGAAAAGGTGCTCAGCCTCCATTTTGCAAACGTGGTGGAGAGAAGTATCCTCTGGGTGGTAGTACTAGGAGGTATTATTGTTGGAATGCATTAAGCATTCCAAGTATTGTTCTTCTATTCTTTATTTCAACTTATTGTTATTGTTGGAATGCATTAAGCATTTCAAGTATTGTTCTTCTATCGCCCGAAGTTGGCTGGGATGGACTCCAGCCCCCCCGCGACCCTGTGTGCAGGATAAGCGGTTTGACAATGGATGGATGGATGGATGGAAGTATTGTTCTTCCAATCTTTATTCAACTTATTCTATTTCTTCCGTGGCACCTTTCATCTCCTTCACACTTTCAGCTATTAAAACTGTTTCCAATATTAAAATATGGGGAAAAGTACTACTAGTATTTCTACTGGTATTAATACTACAATTACTACTAATGTTACTACAAATACTATGACTAATATTAGTATTCCAGCTGATACTTAACTATTACTACTTCTACTGCTAGTACTA